ACTTATCAGACTTCCAATCAATACCCCCAAAACAAATAATCCAATTAAAAAACAGGAAGAAGACATGAACAGACATTTCTTCAAAGAAGACATACAGATCATGAAGCCACACATGAAAAGATGTTCATTATCACTTACCATCAAGGAAAAGCCAATCAAAACTACAAGGAGATGACGCACCTGTCAGAATGGCTAAAATTAACAAAAGTTGCTGGCAAGGATGTGGAGAAAGGGGAACCCTCTTGCATTGCTAGTGGGAATGCAAACTGCTGCAGCCACTGTGGAATACAGTATGGAGGTTCCTCAAAATATTAAAAATAGAACTACCTTATAAACCAGAATATAAAAACACCCCTACATTTATAGCAGCATTATTTACAATAGCCTAATTATGGAAGCAACCCAAGAACCCATCAACTGATGAATGGATGAGGAAGATGTGGCATATATATATACAATGGGCTATTATTCAGCGGTAAGAGAGAATGAAATCTTGCCATTTGCAATGACATGGATGGTTCTAGAAGAGTATAATGCTAAGCAAAGTCAGTCAGTTACAGAAAGACAAATACCATATGATTTTACTCATATGTAGAATTTAGGAAACAAAACAAACAAGCAAGAGAGGAAAAAAAGAGAAAGAGTGATAAATCAAGAAACAGACTCTTGGGGCGCCTGGGTGGCTCAATAGGTTAAGCATGTGCCTTCAGCTCAGGTCACGATCTCAGGGTCCTGGGATGGAGACCCTTGTATGGGGCTTCTCACTCGGCAGGGAGTCTGTTTCTCCCTCTCCTCCCCATCCCTGCTCATGCTCTCTCACTCTCTCAAATACATTTCAAAAATCTTAAAAAAGAAAGAAAGAAAGAGACTCTTTTTTTTTTTTTTCCCATTTAAAGATTTTATTTATTTATTTGATAGAGGTCACAAGTAGGCAGAGAGAGAAGGGGAAGCAGGCTCCCTGCTGAGCAGAGAGCCCGATGCAGGGCTCTATCCCAGGACACAGATCACGACCTGAGCCGAAGGCAGCGGCTTAATCCACTGAGCCACCCAGGTGCCCCAAGAAACAGACTCTTAACTATAGAGAACAAACTGATGGTTACCAGAATGGGGCATGGCATGGCTGACATCGGGGATGGGGATTAAGGAGCACTGGGTGATATATGGAAGTGTTGAATCACTATATTGTATACCTGAAACTGGTATTACATTGTAAATTAACTAACTGGAATTAAAATAAAAACTTAAAAAATAAAAGCAATTACGTATTAAATATTAGACTAAACTATTTTTTACATATTGTTTTCTTTTTTTTAAAGATTTATTTATTTATTTATTTGACAGAGAGAGACACAAAGAGAGGGAACACAAGCAGGGGGAGTGAGAGGGAGAGAAGCAGGCTTCCGGCTGTGCAGGGAGCCCAAAGCAGGGCTTGATCCCAGGACCCTGGGACCTTGACCTGAGCCAAAGGCAGACACTTAACTGACTTAGCCACCCAGGCACTCCAGCGTATTGTTTTCTGAATAACCTTTAGTGAGAATTTTAACTAGCTTTGAGTATTTTTGAATTTCAGCATTTAGGAAATCTATAGACAGATGGAAAAACAACCTGCAAAAATCTGGAGGACATTTTTTTTAGTGCAGTAAGAAAAGCAGCTATACATTACACAAAAAATGAAGTTTTTCCTGATAATGAAAGTTGTGTTCACTTGGTGGAATTCTGAGAAATGTTTCAGCCATAGGTGTTTTTAAGAGTAAAAATCTCAGAATCATTAAAATGAGTAGTACTGCATCCAAGAAAGCCAGCAAATGGGTATGGGCACCTACAGAAAAACAAAAGCCCAAATAATTTTGTGCCTGGTTTGATCACTAATTCGGAAACATTATTCAATGTTCAATTATACAATTCTTTGGGCCTTGGTTTCTAATCTGCAAAAAGGAAAAAATGACTACCCAATAAAACACAGAATTTAATGATGTATGAAGATAAACTGATACATTTTTATGGGAACCCGTTTTGAAAATTTAAGATTATATACACGAATATAGGACATACCCTAATCAGCACAAGAGAGATACAGTCAGTTCTCAAAGAATGCCTTTCTTTAATTTCTTCCTTTCAGCATCATGCCAGGATAAATCAGTCCCAAAACCCATCGATGTCATTTTCCGCTCTGCTAGCTGGCTGCTCCCTGGAAAAGTGGTTCACATGGTCAAAGAAAGCTTTGAAAACCACTGGATCCCTCTCCATCTCCAGCTTATTCTCTTTGCTGCCAAATCAGGTCAGAATTCTCAAGCAGATGCACTGGGATATATAGTTTGTCCTCTTTATAGCCTAGTCTTTCTGTCCTTTGTTCCCCTCACAACCCCACATAGTCCTGGGGACAGAGTCTTCATGCAGTTGGGTATATCTCTTACACTGTATTTTCATGGTGTCATATTTGCAAATTAATAAGCCTCTACTGGCTCTTGGACTCAAATTGAGATCTGTGGAATATGTGACATAGTATCAAACACCTAAATGAAAAACACCCTCCATGTGTGTTAATTTTTTTTTTTTTTTTTTAGAAAATTTTGAATTTGGGGTGCCTGGGTGGCTCATTCGATTAGGCGTCTGCCTTTGGCTCAGGTCATGATCACAGGGTCCTGGGCTAGAGCCCTGCAGGAGCCTTCCAGCTCAGTGGGGATTCTGCTCTTCCCTCTCCGTTAGCCCCTCCCCCTGCTCATGTGTGCACACTCTCTCTCTCTTTCAAATAAATAAATAAAATCTTAGAAAAAAGAAACAAGAAAATTTAGAATTGGAAGTCTTTTGAAGCATCTATGGCTTTAAGGTAAAAAATGAAGTATGAGGTTAACTTTTCCTTTATGGAAGTCCAACTGGAATGCTCTATCCTTAGATCTCATGACGAACTTCTTGTCATCTGGATCTCAGCTCAAACAGAACTTTCTCTAAGGGACCTTCCCTGAGTACACAAATCTAAACATCCTCAACTTTCTCAATACATTATCCATGACACTTACCACTCTTGTAATGTCCTTTTTTATTCATTTGTTTGTGGCATATTATCTGCCTTCTACACAGTAAGCTACATGGGAGGCTTACTAGAGTCTGGGACCAGACTGGCCTGCAAATTCATCTATAGCAGCACCCATGTCAGTGCCTGGCACATGGACTCTTGTTATTTGAATGAATGTATGAATGAAAATTGAGCTGTTACTCCATGTCAAGCTCTGAGCTGTGTGCTTCATATGTAATCTGACAACTATAAACTGGACAAATTATTCCTGGTTTATGGTGAAAACTCAAGGAGGTTCAGTTATAGTTGAGAAGACAGATGCCAAAGCCTAATCTCTTCCCACTGTTGATAAGGATTCTGATTTCTCTCAAGTCTTTCCCACACAATTAATTATAATTAATCACAGGAATTAAGCACTGAGCTTGAATACATCTTGTTGGAACTAAATGTATGAGTAAAGCAGGAAAAACATCTAAGTTCAAACAAGCAAGTGTAATTCACAAACCCTCCTTACTTACAGATCCCTTGGGTAAATAAGGGTGGATATACTATTAACAGTCTGACTTATTGGCTTAGGAATTATTTAGACAAAGATCATGCAATCTATCTAGGAAATAATTTCAGATCCAGCTACTCTAGTAACAACTTCCAAAACTTCATCTTTGGAGTAATTTGTGAGTTTTTCAGGCATTTTCTCTTTGTGTTCCTTCTCTCTCTTGCTGGCATAGTTTCAACTAGTTCACTGACACTCCCTCCAACTCCCCCAGGCCTCCCTTTTTAAAATGTAAACTCTCTGCATCAAAGAGTAATTTGGACCACATCTTCCCTATCCATTCGTCTGTTGAAGGGCATCTTGGTTCTTTCCACAGTTTGGCCACCGTGGCCATTGCTGCTATAAACACTGGGGTACAGATGGCCCTTCTTTTCACTACATCTGTATCTTTGGGGTAAATACCCAGTAGTGCAATTGCAGGGTCATAGAAAAGAAATAATAATAATAATAATAATAATAAAGAATAATTTGGAGGAGACAAGAGGAGAGGAAACCTCAAGTTATTAGCGAATTTGGAAAAGCATTCTTGCCACGCCCCTCACTCGTCCCTCTTCTTGTCCTTACCAGGTAAATTAGAAATCAGCCTTCGCCTTCACACGTTGAAAACTGTCATTTCAGTTGAGACACACCCTTCCCGTCAGGGGCACTCTCCCAGTATTCCCGTCCCTACTTCGATCCTGGCTCACACGCGCCTTCCGCACTGTGACTTTAGAAAGCCAGCCAGCGATCCAACACCTGGCAAAGGGCAAGCGGCCTGGCCCAGCGATTCTTCGGGATTCGCTTGGGGGCCGAAACCACAGCCTGGCAGACAGTGACAAACCTACCAGTGACTGCGCCCAGTTCCCCGCCTCTTCTGTTGGGCTCTCGCCTGAAGTAGCCAAGAAGTGACTGCACGGCGAGTCAGACGCGAGGCCAGCAGGGTTGGGAAAGTTTTCATCTCGAAGACAGAGGAGAGACGTGGACCGCCCAGTAGGGTCCAGCGCCCTCCCCGCGAGGCCCAGCGCGCCTGAGTTCGCGCAGTGTCTGACCCTCGAGGAGCCCACGCAGGGCGCAACACGGACTCCCGCCCGGTCCCGAGGCACGCCCTCTGCCCACCGGGTGACTTCCACCGCGGACTCCGGGAGCGAGTCTGAGTCAGAGGAAGCGCCTTTCTCAGACGAGACTCATGAATCTTCCCCCCAGCACCCCGATTTTCCCCGTCGCGACGCCCAGCACGCTGTGATTTACGTGGGACTGCCTCCTGCACCAGAGTGGGAGCCCCGTCTCTCTATCTCGTCGGGCTCCGGCTTCCCCAGAGCCTGGCATACTGCACGCACCAATAAATATCTACTGACTGGCTGAAAGCCTGAATGAGCAAACCAAGTACCCGGGACCGCCCACCCGGTCTCATCACCACCCCGGTGCCAGGTCCCTCGGCTGGGGACAGACACTCACCTTTCTGGCAGGGCTCTTCAGGCGGCAGCCTCACCTGTCCCCCCATGGCCCCCAGTCGGGGCTTCTCCCAGCAGGCTCTCCCTCCTCCTCCACCCAGGCTACTCCTCCTCCCCAAGGACCCGCGATGGGGCGGAGCTGTAGGGTCCGGGACTGGCGCGCGTTCACTCCGCCCCCCGGGGCAGCCTTAGCCAATGGGAGGGGTGGACCCCCTCACGAGCCACGCCCCCGGGGTCGGAGGCTGGGACCCAGGGCTTGGGGTTTGGACCTCCGCGGCAGAGCCTGGTCCCTCGTGGGACTGGCGGCAGCGCCCGCCGCTTCTCGGCTCTGCGGCTGGAACCGCGCAGTGGACACTTCTCAGGGTAAAGACGCCCCCCGGAGCGTGCAGGCCGCGGAGCCAACTCTGCGGCAATTTAGTGGAGTAAAGGCTCTGCTGAGCACCCCTTCTGCCTTCTTCCGAGGTCCAGAAATTTTCCGAGGGCCCTGCTGCAGGTGTTAGGGGCTCTGGAAGGAAGTTGCCGGCCATTGGGCTTCAGCTCTGATTACCAGGCTTAAGCTGATTCTAACAGATTTTGCCCTTCTGGTGCTATCAGATTCTCCCCGCGGTCCCTCGGCTTCAAACTCATGTCCCCCAAAGCCCTTTTTTTCTAAGTCCTGCAATTATTACCATAAATCCTAAAGCAGAGACAAGGCTCAAACGGAAACGACTGATTCCCACAAAATAGTAGTAGCTAACATTTATGATATTCTTTGCCGTACGTATGTGGGTACCCATTGTATCTCACAACCTAGTCTTATAATGGCCACTTTTTACAGGTGAGGGATCAGAGGCAAAGAGCAAGGTTAAGTAACTTAACCAATTAGTTGGTGAAAGGCCTGGTGGTAGGTCATTATCCGGTATGAAATGGGTATAATTCCTGTTAAAACCTTTGCCGCAGAAGTGGCATGTCTCTGTGTTCTGGGACTTCAACAATGAAAAATCTCTCCTCTGCTCACCTTGCCTTTGCTCTAGGTACTATGAACAGTGCTATTAACTTTATTACCTAAGAGTTTCATGACAGCGGCCTCAATCTTGCTTTTCTTGTTCTTAGGCTGATAAACGAAGAGTTAAGAACAGTCAGTTCAACAATACGAGGCACACGCTTTTATGTGTGGATGGCTTGGTGGAGAAGGAATATCATGGGGGGACTAGGTGAAAATTGGAGGGGAGGGCGATTTATGCCAAAATTTGGACGATAAGTCTTAGAATTTAGATTTCTATTTAAACGTTTTGTTTGAACATCAGACTTGAAAAATTTGCCTTGATTAAAGATTGATGATGATTGTAAATGTGATCTAAAGTATTATTTATTAATTATTTGGCACCTGTGTGAGAGTTATTTTAAGCACGTATAAATATTTGCCTTTTAAATTATAATGAATTGGCGATAATATTATTAACCCCTACTTTACAGATGAGGAAAGAGAGGCACACAGACATTAAGAAACTTGTTTACGGACACATAGCTGGCAAGTGGTGGAGTTGGAATGCTAACTAATGAAGTCTGGCTTCAGAGTCTATGCTCTTATCCTATTTGCTAATTGGATTTTTTTTTTAAACAAACCCACTAAAAATGTACCACCCAGATGATTTCTTATAAAAATTGGATTCCCATTTCTTATTAAGGTCTATTTTAGGTAGGAAGCACTTTGCTGTCATTCTTGTTTTTCAGTTCTGATAATGAGAAAAATAAATATTTAACCTTTCAGAAAAAAAAAATATTTAACCTTATTTAGGATCCTTGTTTTCTCAGTTTAACTGTTGCCTAAGCAGAACTTTATATTTTCCTTCACTGCCTATTTCTGGATGATTTTGGATATTACGCTGTTACAGCACCATAGACTGTCTTGAGTGACATTAATTTTTGGGATTTTTATTCCCCCCAAAAGCATGGTGTTTATGTAACCAAAAGAGGAGCATCAAAAAATCTCCAACTGGCCCACCAGTGAACTGTGCCAAGTCTACAGTTGAGAATTAGTGATCCCTTATTTTTTTCTCAGTTAGTCTTCTAGGAGGTTTCGATTCATTTTTTATTTTCTTTAAAGATTTTACTTTCAAGTAATCGGACTTATAACCCCGAGGTCAAGAGTCTCATGCTCCACTACTGAGCCAGCCAGGTGCCCTTTATTAATTATTCCAAGAACCAGCTCTTACCTTTATTGATTTTCTTTACTGACTTCTAAGATTTCATTAGCTTCTGCTATTATTATTATCATTATTATGTATTCGATATGTTTACTTATTTTTTTTAAAGATTTTATTTATTTATTTGATAGAGAGGGATCACAACTAGGCAGAGAGGCAGGCAGAGAGAGAGAGAGAGGAGGAAGCAGGCTCCCCGCTGAGCAGAGAGCCCCATGCGGGGCTCTATCCCAGGACCCCGGGATCATGACCTGAGCCGAAGGCAGAGGCTTTAATCCACTGAGCCACCCAGGCACCCCTCGATATTTTGTTTATTATTTTATTTTTACTTCTTTCCTTCTACACCGACTTTAATTTACTTCTAGTTTCTAAGGTGGAAACATAGATCATTGATTTTAATTTTTTATTTAATTTTTATTTTTTTTTTATTATCATATAATGTATTATTGGCCCCAGGGGTACAGGTCTGTGAATCGCCAGGTTTACACACTTCACAGCACTCACCATAGCACGTACCTTCCCCAAAGCCCGTAACTCAACCACCCTCTCCCTACCCCCCTCCCCACAACCCGCAGTTTGTTTTGAGAGATTAAGAGTCTCTTACGGTTTGTCTCCCTCTTCATCCCATCATGTTTCATTTATTCCTTTCCTACTCCCAAAACCCTCCACGTTGCCTCTCAACTTCCTCATATCAGGGAAGATCATTTATTTTTAAAACTTTACTCCTTCTAATTCAAACATTTAAAACTAATTTGGCTTCAAATACTGCTTTAGCTGCATACAGCAAATTTTGATTTCTTTTTTATCATTTAGTTCAGTGTATTCTAAAACTTTCCTAGTGATTTCTTCTTTGACCATGGGCTATTTTGGAGTATGTTGCTTGATTTCCACATATTTGGAGATTTTCCAGATACCCTTCTACTATGGATTTCTGATTTACTTCTGTTTTGAACACAGAATATATTCTTTATACTTACAGCCCTCTGAAATTTACTGAGATTTGGCTTCTGGCCTAGCGTATGGCTTGTCTTGGTGAACGTTCCAAGTAAAATTTAAAATATAAATTCTGCCATTTGTTGGGTATAGTGTTACATAAATGTCAGTTAGGATAAATTGGTTGCTCAAAATCTAGTTTACTACTGATTTTTACATTCGTCCTATCAATTACTGAGAATAAAGTATTAAAATCACATGCAGTTGTGAGTTTGTCTACAAATTTAGTGATGCCAGTTTTTGTTTCATGAATTTTTGAAGATTTGTCATTAGGTGCACATACAAGTTGGGTTGTTATGGCTTCTTAACCAATTGACACTTCAATCATTATTCAATGTTCTTTTGTATTTCTAATAATAACTTTTTGATTTGAATTTACTTTGATACTAATATAGCTAAATCAGCTGTTTTATTACTAGAGTTGACACGTTCTACCTTCTTCTATCCCCTTACCTCTCTGTTTAAAACATTTCTTGTACATGGGGCTCCTGGGTGGGTTAAGCAGCAGACTGGGTTTTGGCTCAGGTCATGATGTTGTGGTGGTGAGATTGAGCCCCGGGTTGGGCTCTGCACTCAGCATGGAGTCTGCTTCAGATTCTCTCTCCCTCTTCCTCCAGTTCACGCTCTCTCTCTCTCTCTCTAACAAATAAATAAAGTCTTTTTAAAAAGCCATTTCTTGTAAATGACTTGAAGATGCATTTTATTTTATTTTATTCCACCAAAGACTTGAGAAGACCTCTTTGCAGAGTTCTGGAGCTCTTTGTCTGCACAGTTTCCTCCTCTCTGGAACTCTGTTCTGCAATTCTAACCACTTTGGTCTCCAAGATCATATTTCAGGCTCCTCAACTAAGCTAGACCATTAGGCTCTGCTTTATCTCCTTTTTCTTATGTCATAGTTCAGAAATTGCCTTTGGGCAGGGTTCAACTCATTTTCTCCCCTTCTCTCAAATATCATACTCCCATGCTATTGTGCAGTATTTTGAAGACAGTTGTTTCATATCTTTTGTCCAGTTTGGAATCAAGCTACATTGTCACAAGCAAGGCCAAGTCCATAATATAGGTGACTTATAAGAGCCAAGTGCAATATTGAAACATGATATTTAAAATTTATGATTTATTTCTAAATCTAAGTATCATTTTATGAGTTGTATTGGCAAACAATACAAAGTTTGCCTACATAGAAATTAACAAAATGATGTAAACTCCATGATGACTCAAGAAGTATGATCTAACTTGAGTGCATTACTTAACCTCAACTCTTAGCTTATCAGGGATGGTAACTGGGACTAATGTCCACTCCTGTCACCTGCCCTTGTTATCCCGTAGCTACCATGTATGAGCGTATCTTCATCCACATTGGCCAGGATGGTTTCCAGATTGGCAATGCCTATTGGGAACTCTATTGCCTGGAGCACTTCCAACCTAATGGCCAGATGTCAAGTGACCAGACCACTGGAGGAGGAGATGACTCCTTCAACACCTTGTTCAGTGAGATGGGATCTGGCAAGCACACCTTCAACACCTTTTTAGTGTTTGTAGACCTGGAACCCACAGTCATTGGTAAAGTTCACACTGGCACCGACTGCCAGCTTTTCTACCCTGAGCAGCCCATCACAGGCAAGAAAGATGCTGCTACTAACTATGTCTGAGGGCACTACACCACTGGCAAGGAGATCATTGACCTTGTTTTGAACCAAATTCAGAAATTGGCTGACCAATGCACGCAAGGCTTTTTGGTTTTACACAGTTTCGGAGGGGAATTTGTTCAAGGTTCACCTCCCTGCTGATAGAACGTCTCTCTGTCGATTATGGCAAGAAGTCCAAGCTGGAGTTCTCCGTTTAGCCCCCCAGATTTGCACAACTGTAGTTGAGCCCTACAACTCCATCATTACTACCCAGGCCATCCTGCAGCACTCTGATTGTGCCTTCA